ATACACTACACTACTATACACTATACATTATACACTATACACTACACTACTATACATTATACACTATACACTACACTACTATACACTACTACTATACACTACACACTACACTATACACTACACTACTATACACTATACATTATACACTATACACTACACTACTATACACTATACACTACACTATACACTACACTACTATACACTATACATTATACACTATACACTACACTACTATACACTATACACTACACTATACACTATACACTACATTACTATACACTATACATTATACACTATACACTACACTACTATACACTACACTACTATACACTACACTACTATACACTATACACTACACTATACACTACACTACTATACACTATACATTATACACTATACACTACACTACTATACACTATACACTACACTATACACTACACTACTATACACTATACATTATACACTATACACTACACTACTATACACTATACACTACACTATACACTACTACTATACACTATACATTATACACTATACACTACACTACTATACACTACACTACTATACACTATACACTACACTATACACTACTACTATACACTATACACTACACTATACACTACACTACTATACACTATACATTATACACTATACACTACACTACTATACACTATACACTACACTACTATACACTATACACTACACTATACACTACACTACTATACACTACACTATACATTATACACTATACACTACTACTATACACTACTACTATACACTATACACTACATTACTATACATTATACACTATACACTACACTACTATACATTATACACTATACACTACATTACTATACACTATACATTATACACTACACTACTATACATTATACACTACATTACTATACACTACTACTATACACTACTACTATACACTACATTACTATACACTATACACTATATTACTATACACTACATTATACACTACACACTACACTATACACTACTATACACTACTACTATACACTACACTATACACTACATTACTATACACTACTACTAAACATTATACACTACTACTATACATTATACACTACTACTATACATTATACACTACTACTATACACCACTACATTATACACTACTATACACTACTATACACTACACTACTATACATTATACACTACATTATACACTACTACTATACATTATACACTACTATACACTACACTATACACTACATTATACACTACATTACTATACACTATACACTACATTATACACTACTACTATACATTATACACTACTATACACCACACTACATTATACACTACTATACACTACTATACATTATACACTACTACTATACACTACTATACGTGATACACTACTACTATACATTATAGACTACTACTATACACTACATTATATACTACACTACTACTATACACGATACACTACACTATACACTACACTACTATACATTATACACTACATTATACGCAACATTGTACACTACACTACTATACATTATACACTACTATACATTATACACTACACTATACACTACTATACACTACATTATACACTACACTACTACTATACACTACACTACATTATACACTACTATACATGATACACTACACTACTACTATACACTACATTGTACACTACACTACTACTACACACTAGATTATACACTACTATACATGATACACTACACTACTACTATACACCACTACATTATACACTACACTACTACTATACACTACGCTACATTATACACTACACTACTACTATACACTACATTATACACTACTATACATGATACACTACACTACTATACACTACACTACTACTATACATGATACACTACTGCTATACACTACATTATACACTACTATACGCTACTACACACCACTATACACTACATTCTACACTACATTATACACTACACTACTACTATACACTACACTACATTATACGCTACTATACGCTACTACACACCACTATACACTACATCACTGCACCACCATTACTACACTACTACACACAGCACTATGCATGACTATGCACTACACTACTATACACTACACACTACACTATACACTACACTACCATACACTACACTACTATACACTACACACTACACTACTATACACTACACCACTATACACTACACACTACACTACTATACACTACACCACTATACACTACACTACTATACACTACACTACTATACACTACACACTACACTACTACACACTACACTACTATACACTACACTACTATACACTACACACTACACTATACACTACACTACTATACACTATACACTACACCACTATACACTACACTATGCACTACACCACTATACACTACCATGATTTACAGCAATAGTGAGACTCTGTGTGTGTGTGTCTGTGTGTGTGTCTCTGTGTGTGTGTCTCTGTGTGTGTCTCTCTGTGTGTGTGTCTCTGTGTGTGTGTCTCTGTGTGTG